TAAAAATGATATAAAATAATCCTCAAGGAGTAAGGATTACTATAGTAAAATCAAGGACATAAGTTAATTAGTAAGTTTTTGAGTTATAAGCTAAGTCCTTAGGTGTGGAAATATTTTTGTCACCCCCTTGTAAAGAAAAAAAAAGTTTTTAAATAAGGAAAAAAAAGTTCAAACCATTTGGGCACTAGTGCAGAAAGTTTTTTTTATTGAGTTTTGCATTTTAAAATTCTTTTTTTTTTAATTTTGTACTAACTATAAAATTCTTTTTAATTTTTTATATAGCAAAAGCAAAAAAAGTATAAGCCCTAGTGTAAGATAAAGCTTTAAATTATAAAAGATGAATCTACCAAAACTAGTATACAACCTTATTCTGAATTTATTAAAAGGTAGGAGAAAAAACTTTTTCAAATAATTTAAATCTTTAAAAGTATATAAAACTTAGAACTTAATATATAACTTTAAAAAGAATAAAAGTAAATATACAAAAAAATGCAAAGAAGAAAAAAATTTTTTTATTTAAAGCAATTTTAATTTTTTTTTTTGATTGTTCATCTTATTATTTATATTTTAATAATATATGAGATCATGATTTTATTATACTATAATCATAGTTGCATGATAATATTGATATTAGGTCATATATTGATAAATAATATGAAATTTGCTTAACTAAACAAATTTCATGTTATTTATTGATGCATAACTAATATCTTATACTTATTATAGCTTATAGACTTTGATCAAATATTATATAATAGCTAATATATAATTGTTTATGAAATTGTTTACATTAACAAATTTCAAAATTTAATTATTAAGATAAATTATTTTGAAAATCAATAAAACCTGATTGGGGAATTAGCAAATTTTGGACATATAGAGGCAGATACATTAACTACGTATTAGTTTAGATTTAGCAGAAGAATAGTATCTCATATATACAATACTTACATAGATTGCTCTAGTACTTTCTTCAAGTATATATTACAATATTAATAATTAGCAGAATTTAACTACTTATTACTATATACTAACTAATTTGCTTATGATTATTTAATAAGCTAAGTATGCAATATTTTTATCTACATTATTGTTATTTAATATTATAAATTATAATAAATTACTAAACCACTATCAAAAGAAATTAAGAGACTTTAGACTTTCAAATTATTATTTATCAATCCAGCTTATAAAAAATCTGATTATTAGTAAAGCTGAATTTTGTAAAGCTCAAAATCATTTTTTGCTAGCAACACTCAAATATAAAAATTAAATTAAAAAAATATACCAAATGTTAAAATAGAAAAAAATTTTTATTGATTAAGAAATGAATTGCTAGTGAATATTGAATTGAATTTTAAATCTTTTTTTTTAAAAAAAATTAATTTCAGATACAAAAAAAGAAAACAAAAATTTATAATTATTCATAGTTGTCATTGTTAACATTGTCATTAATACCTCTATTGTTAATTTTTGGTTTTTAGCAGTTTTGATTTCTTCTATACAAATGATTTCTGCAAGTTGCTCTTGAAAGATGAATTGTTCTTTTTTATATATCTTCTAAAAATATATATAAAGGTAATAAAATATTAAATTTAAGTAACCAAATTCTTGAATTTTTTTTTATAAAATATTATTAGGATATAAACTTTTTATGCAATTGCTTTATTAGTATACTTTATACTAAAACTCATAGGGTTTAAAAGAATATCACAAATTGCTATTATATATGAGCAATATATTGGTAAAAAGCTATAGCTACAAAAATGCTAAGGTAATTAATTCATCATTTTCAAAAGAGAATTGTAAGCAATATAAGTTTTTTTTGAGGCTTTTTACTCAGAAAGCTTTATGGTAGATATATTACTTTTTTTAATATTTAAAATAGTAAAAGTAGTATTTCTAATAGTTGAGGCTATATTGTTTCTTTTATTTTTGTATTTATTTCTGAGCTGATAAAAACAAATAAAATTAAACATATAAATTTATTAGTTTTTATAACAGATAATCTAGCTAAGTCAATTTTTAAAAAACTATTTTTTTTAAATTTATACCCAAGTAAATATTTTAATTTTCCAATTTTGGTATTTTTATATTCAGATTTATTATGCTATCATGCAAATTGTATAGTTAATATTGATATATATATAATTGAGTGTAAAATACCAAAATTGGATGTTGAAATAGATCTGACTAAATAAATAAAAAATATACTTTAGATAAATTTTTCTTATTGAAATATGAGATCTATCCCGATAGTATTAATAAAATAATTTGAGTATTTGCCAAATACCTTCTAATGTAACTTTATATTCTTTAGAGAAAGAGTATAGAGTTGCTAGAATTAGTTGCTTTGTAACTTCCTTGTATGCATTTCTCCAAAAAGATTATTAAATATAATTAATTAATTTTTTATATTATTTAATGTTTCTTTTTATTTATTTAGTATAAAATAACATAATTGATACAATAAATTAATCTTTTGGTTTAAAAAATTTACAGTATAATTAAAATTATGGGTTGTCAATTTTGCATGAGTAGATCCAACTCATAGATAAAAGATGATAATCGAGATGTATGTACTATTTCCTCATTATCAGATTTCTCTTTCTCATAGGCAGGTGAGAGCTTTCTGCCTTTTTACAGGCAGTTAAACAGTGGTGAAGATAATTTATTCTCCTCATCATCTGAAATTTTAACAGCTATAAAATAACAACAATAGTAACCAATTTATTAAAAATTATTAAAAAATATACATTACTTGTTTTTACCTGTAGTTAATTTAGGCCCCATCTCTCTTATGTTATGAGTCATGTAAGTCATATGATTATATTATATAATCATATAATAATGTGACAAAATGACATATAACTATATGTCATATTATTAGTGATATGAGCTGGCCCCGGCCAAATGGCCAGGCCGATTGGCGGGTTGACCCTCAGCCTGCACCCTTGTGAGCCGGGCCAATTGATAAAAGAAGTGCTTGAATCGATTTTCATATATTGGCTAAATATCAACTAATCATTATAAAAATGTAGACACTCATTGGTTGGCTAATTTAGGTGATAAATTAGCAAATAACTAATACGTATAAGAAATGGAAATGCCTTACATGTTCGGGTGCATAGACAATTAATCAACATAAAATATAACGCTTTATAATTAAATACAAAAGGAATAAAAACTAAATGATTTTAGTGTGTTAGAATTTGGTAAAGAACTACCTGATGGCTTTCTACATGTTTAATATAGATATTGAGACTAATTCTTATTAGAAAATTTATATTAGTAAAAAAGTTCGGCCTGGTCAACCGGCCCGAGCTTTTTTATAATCGACCCGGCCATGATATTTTCATCGACCTGTATCACTACATATGATATAATGACATTGTCATTTGGCAAATGACCTTATGACATTGTCATTTGCCAACACAGTTTAGACAGTAACTATAAATAGATACTATTAAAAATTAGATAACAGAAATTGATACAATAGTACTAGTACTATATAATTGTATATAGATGTTGATTATACAATATATATTTTATAATAAATAATATATAAAATATTTATTTAGAATAGATATTAAAAAATGAATACAAGAATCATTTTTTGTAGTTTACTGTAGTACAAAATCTGTTATTAATCATTTATTGATCTATTTTTGGTTTATATTAAATAAAATATTCGTTACTTGAAAGAATAAAATTTTCTCTACATCTTATTGTTAGCAGAAAGCATCATTATTGATTTTAAAGCTTCAAATCATAAGATTACATATTTCACTTTCTTTTTACTTCTTGTAGAATCTTGACCCCTTCTCTATTCTGTCTTATCATTTTAACTACACCATAAAATGCCCTTTCCACATTCACAGCTTTTCTTGCGGAACTTTTGATAAAATTGATCTTGAGTCTTATTGCCATATCCATCTCTTCTTCTCTTGAAACTTCACGTTCAGTTATTTTGTCACATTTGTTACCAACAAGCATAATTGGAACAGGTTCATTGTCCTTTACACGTATAATTTGATCATAAAATCATTCTACTCGCTCAAATGTTGATCTTGAGCTTATGGAATATACAAGTAGAAACCCTTCACAATCCCTGAAAAAGGAATAAGTATATTAAAGTCAGAAAAATTTAATTGCCCGACTTTAGTATGAATTATATGGGCTGTCATCAATAAAATTAAATCAGCTTGACATTTTAAAAAAAATTAATACTTTAAATTTCACAGCTTATATCTCAATAAATTTTGAAACTATCTTGATGATTTAATATCAAAAGAAAGTTTAGATCGTAAGCTTTCTTCCGACTATTAAATCATTAAGATAGCATTAAAATCCGTCGTGTGAAATTTAAAGTATTGAAATTTCAATCTGCCTTATTTCTATTGACAGCAGCCCATATATATTACGTTTTCAGAGAAGCTTTCACAAGCATTTATTATAAATACATGCCTGATAAATTGATCAAGCATAGCTATATATTCTGCATATTTTGCTTCTGTATTAGATTTAATAAAACAAAGTAGACTGAGTTAATATTTGTGTAAAAACATATATATTTAAAAATTACAATATTATATTACTGGATCTAGTAATTTTATAAGTTAATAACTTTAAGCTACTGAACATAAGAGCTACTTGTCATGTATACAGTCATACTCCTCTATAGCCACCTCCTACATAATCACAACTTCTATATAATCACAAAAAAATTGAAACAATTGATTAATAAACTTATTAAAAACCACCTCCATATAAGCACATTATAGTTATTATCACATATTTGTATAAAACAAACTAAGTGATTATAGAGGAGGACAACTGTATAATAATAACAAATATAGGTATATGAAATAATAGATCATATACAATAGCTTAAATTTATGAACCATCAATTATTTCTAGAACACAAGGATGATCGTCAATGACCACCTGTTTTCGATATAAATCTTCTATTGATGGGTCATATATCTAAACTCTAGTTAATAAATATTTTTAAAACTACAAAATATTCAGAAATTGAAACACAAACCTCTAATTAAACAATCCAAAAAAAAATTACTTAGTGTTTAATAATTAGACCAAGTTTATGAATATATTATATTAAAGACAAGCTCCTAAAGCCTGTTCTGATACGCTTACCAATAAAGTGGTTAAAACATAACTATAATTAAGAATGCCAAATAACCAATTAGCATTAAATGTCAAGTTTTAAATGTACAGCTATTTTACTAACTTCTCTTATTCTGTCTGATTATAAATAAAATTTAATCAAAATGATTAATCAAATGAAAATATCAATTTCAATTAACTAGCCAATTTTGCTAAATAATTATACAGATAATTATACCTTTCAACATATTTATCTCCAAGAACAAGTAATTTGTATAGCATCATCGTGGTAAAACTCTGCAAAAGTATTTATGACGATTAGAGTAATTAATAGAAATGTGCCATATACATTATGCAGGTGATATTGCATGATACATAATGATGCATCATGCGATTAAAATTTAAAAATGCACATAGAAGTTATTATGTAATTTTGATCCATGTCATTTTATTAACAATCACTTTATAGACACTTGTTCCTATCAAATTCATAGGCTGTGAAATCATATAAAAAAAACAATCTATCAGGTCTGTTTCCACTATATAAATTTAATATTTTATGTTTTCAAATCTAATATCCTCTCAGTAATAATACAAAGTCTGTTCACAACATATAGGTTTTGAGAGATCCACAGTATATTATACAGAATTGCACAATGTATCATGCGATATAATGTTGCATTATGCATTCGCACATCTCTAGTAATTAATGATAAACTGGTATCATAAGTTAATTGAACATTGTCTAATTGTATTAATTGAGCATATGTCCAATTATCCAGTAATTTACGACCATTTTACAACAAACCATTTTTCTTTTTTTTTTATCTCTGGTTTGGCAAAACTTACAATTAATTGAGTATTTAAAGAAATCGTTTAAGCAACTTAGTTATGGATCCTCAGCTTCAATGTTGACAAATTATTATTTTTCTTCTTAAAATTAGTGTTCAAAGATAAGCTGGCTTATCACTAGGGATGGGGACACAGGGCACGAGGCATGCCTGGAGACATGCTCTCAGGCCAAAAGGTATGCCTCTGTCATGTGCCAAATACAACACGTTGATTGGCTATCAGCTATACAACTAATAAAGGTGCACAAATTTTAGATCACACTAGTTCAGTTTTTAATATAAATATAATTTACATCTTTGCTACATATATACATACATACTGTACCTGCTTTATTTAATTAGTAACTTTTTAAAGAGATTGTACTTTATTGGGATTAACCTTATATATTTGAATTGAATATCTCATGCATAAGT